AAATATCAACAACCACATGCGCCACAGGCCTACTGATGTCAAGTTCCAGAGCAATGACTTTGTTTTGCACCACTCGTGTGCATCACTGTTCAACTTCATGTGACTCTGACTCTATGCCTCAGGTGTCTACTTCTTTGTGGCCCATCTTGCACCCAAGTTGTGCAATCTCGACTGGAAGAACTCTAGGAAACCAAATAACTCAACAGTATCCACCATGTGCCCTAAACTAGGAACTCTAGAAACTAGTATTCATGAACTTCAATCCGTACTTTTTAAGTGTACCTAAATGGTTAGAAAATACCCTACAGAGGTTTGGAATCCAGAAGGATCTCCCAAGAATATTATGCAGGAACACTAATGTCCAGCTGCCCTACTGGCATTGCCAACTATGGTGGTGGGGTCGTTGGCCACAAATCGCAACAATGCTCCCTAGTATGCCCAAGTATGAGCATAAGGTTGTTGGCTGCACAAGAGAAAGGCACCACCTCGAGAGCAGATGAGGGCATAGGCCTTGTTAAAGAGAGTCGGTGGCTGAAGTGTTTAACTACCACACTAGCAGTACCAACTCCTATACCAGGGGCATTGACCACACAAGTCAACAACAACACCAGAAGCTCGAAAGAGGGCATAGCTGTTGTTGAATAGGAAGTGACCCAAGTTACGAGCTTTTAAATGGAGTGATATGGATCATCATTACATAATCAGTCGGGGTGAGGTCACCAACGACCCCGCCAGTTGTGTTAAGTTCTGATTGGCCTAAGCAACCGCTAATCGTCACATCTCGAGATACGAAAATCATGGCCATCATTTCCTGGATTACGACAGTGACACTGTTGAAGATAGAGCTAGATGTCGATGGGGTTCTGGTTTCCCTTGGGTCAGGAGGCGAAAACCCTCTCTCAAACAGCTGCGAAGGTTCGACGCATGGAGCGCGGCCCTCCTACTTGCAAATAGGGGCCGATGGTGACAGAGATTTTGTAGCTGGAACATGAATGCTCTTTATGCCGCTTGGGGGGGTTTGGGGACCACCTGAGCAGATAACCCTCTTAAAAAAATTACGAAGCCCTCCAGCTGCTTGTCAGCGGGGTTTGGACGAGGGCCCTCTCTAAGCTCCCAACCTCTCTCTTCTCTCTCTATGTTATTGGAATGGGATCCGAATATCCCTCCTCCTTGGTTGCCCTCCCGAGGGGACTAAGTGACTGCTAAAGGAGGTATGAGGAAAATCGAGGGACCCATGGGTTTACTCACATTCGCGGGCTTGCGGGCTGTCATGCGGATGAGGATGTGTGCGAAGGTGAGACAGTGAGAGAGAGATAAGGGGTGACTCGGCTTAGGAGGGAGGGAAGTTGACTCATGCAGTCGGGGAGCCCGCAGGACTGCGCATTCAGGGGCATCTTCTCTCTCAAAGGTTTCTCTCTCCATCTCTCCTCTCTAGTGGGGATTGGGGACTCACAAGGAAAAACAAGCTAATGAGGCGAGCACAATCTAGCCTTGATTCGTCTCAGCCTTTGGAGGTATTGGGGCTTGAAAGGAGAGGTCGTTTTACAAATGGGTTAAGCTTGCTTATATAGAGGATTCACCAAACAAGGGTGAACACCCAAAAGCCAAGCTTAATTACATTTTAAGAAATTAGAAATAAGTCCTGAAATTATGCTCAAATGACCAAAATGTCCCTAAGATCTTTTACACGAATGACTAAACCATCCTTGCATGCAGGTTGCTTCACCACGGTGAGACCTTGGAAGCTTGTTCAGCAACTTGTGGCAATGGTTCAGTTGTTTCAATAGCATATCTTCAATGTTCTCTTGATTGTGACCATTTTGATGCCCTTTAATCGTGTTGTGATGGCCTTTTCCCCCTGGGTGAAAGTCCAACCAGATTTGTGAACTTCGTTTGCCAATGGTTCTTCGAGCTGCACTAATTTGGTTCATGTCTGCTTGCAAGTCAGAGAGGAGGATGTCGCAGTCATTTTGCACCATGGTTGGCCTGATTTGGTCTTGGTTCATGTATTTGCCTAATTTGAGAGGTTACCAAAAAAAGGGATTCCTGCAACCGCAAGATTCACATCTCTAATGACTTGCATTCATCGGACCTTGGATTGAATACAAGAGTTGTACCATTGTGTAGCTCTTCGTGAGGTGGTTGCATTGAACTCGTCTTCGCTGTGATCCAAGGTTTGGATGTCGAGCTATGCTTCACAGAATCCGAGGCTTCTTCTCCTTGAACCCTGGTTCTCCCTCTGGTTTTGCGGACACCTTCTTCCTCGGAGCACTGCGGTTCCCGGTCATGCCATAGTGTGTGTGTAGTTCAAAATGATGGGGCTGGCATGATCTCGAACATATCACCTTTTGAGCATCCTCTATGTTCAAAGGAAGGCATCATGGGCTGGCGAGGCTGCTGTCGGAAGGTGTTGTCCCAGTCCCCATTTCCGGGGACGGTTTGGTGAAGTCGCACTGTCCTAGTGTGAAACCTGTTAGTTGTGAGGCCGCATGAGCATAGACACCTTCGAGGAGGTCTGATTGAGCCCAAATTTGGTCTTCGAGGGTTTTTCAACATTCTGAGTGCAACGATGATGACCTGGTACAATTCTGTAGCCGCTAGCATAGGGCTACAGTTAGAGGGTCCTTCTTTGGTGTGATGGCACCACACCCGGGCCACGTGGCCCATGGTTTTATTTTTCGGTACAACATTAGTCCACGGGTGTCTAGTGTACCTGCAAACTAAGCTATTGTCGGCTCTCCCCTTATTCACATGGGCAATGAAAGTACGTCAAGAATGAGATACAACAACTTGCTCCGACTGATGTTGCGCTTTGAGAAAAGTGAGAAGTGCAACACTTGAAAATTTTAACGTCGTAGCTCTTCTGGTGAATTCTTGCTGAGACGTGTTTATTGTCTCTCAAATATATTTTTTCTCTTGATCACCAGCATCGGTGCAGTCCTTGAGGGGTAGACCTTGCTAAACTTTTCCCTTGACCGGGGGGTAACCAAAGTGGATTCTAGTGGTCCGTTGCCTTGTTGAGGTGCATTCTCAAGGTTCTGCCAGAATCTGTTTTGTGGGAGATCGCGCTGATGGCCTGCCTTTGACGGGCTTATGACTTTTGTATCAATGAGAACTCCAAATGTCCCTGCTGGTGGGGGCCTTTTTTTGGGGACTTTATCCTATCTTGGTTGGGGAAGTCCTGGTGTTCCGGTTAGTGGGGGTCTTTTTTGTGGGCTTTATCCCTAACCAAATAGAAGCACCAAGTGGTGGTGAACAAGCAGGGTACCTCTTCGGTCCACATCCTACTGGTAGAGTTGGGGGTCTCTCGAATTACCTGGACGTGATAGAGAGGGGGCTTCTGATGACACCTCATTTCAGGAGACTTCACTCTGGATGCTCGTGTTTGTTTCGATAAGGAGAAAAGGGCAGGTAGGGTACCTCTTCGGCTCACGTCCTACTGATCTGGTTGGGGGTTGCACAGCGATTCCCAAATTACCCAGATGTGATAGGGAGGTGGGCTTTGAGAAGGTCTCATTTCAAGAGACTTCACCCTAGATGCTGGAGTTTGATGAGAAGAAAGGCAAGCAGGGTACCTCTTCGACTCACACTGTACTAGTCTGGTTGGGGGTCTCCGAATTAGTTGGACATGATAGGGAGGTGGCCTCTGAGGCAGCCTCATTCTCGGAGGCTTCACCCTGGATGCTAGAGTTTGATGAGAAGAAAGGCAAGCAAGGTACCTCTTTGGCTCATTCCCTACTAGTCTGGCTGGGGGTCTTCTGAATTACCTGGACGTGATAAGGAGGTGGCCTCTGAGGCCGTCTCATTTCCAAAAACTTCACCCTGGATGATGGAGTTTGATGAGAAAAAAGGCAAGCAGGGTACCTCTTCAATTCACACCCTATTAGTATGGTTGGGGGTCTCTCGAATTACCCTGACGTGATAGAGAGGTGGCCTCTGAGGCGGTCTCATTTCAGAAGACTTCACCTTGGATGCTATAGTTTAGTATGGAGGAGAGGAAGTTGGCATTTTGTGGTGGCACTAAGGCCTCGGATTGGATGCAGCACTGAGGCCTGAGATTTTTTTTAGTGGCACTGGGGCCGGAGATTGAAGTTGGAACTGGGGCCAAGGATTTGAAGCGGCACTGGGGTCGGATATTTTTTTTGGTGGCACTAAGACTCGGAATTAGATGCGGCACTGAGGCCAGAGATTTGTTTTGAGTGGCAGTGGGGCCAGAGATTAAAGTTGGCATGGGGGTCGGGGAATGGAATTGATTCAAGAGCCCATGTGAGTTTCATTTAAGCTAAGTGGAAATGGTGTTAGCAGAGTTGTTTTCACCAAATCCTTTTATTGGGGCATTTTTACCTGTGACTTCGAGATCACGTCCACCTTTTTTGTTTCCCCTTTTACTCTTGGTGCCCTTGCGAGTTTTTGCCATGTTCGGATTTTTTTTCTCACGGCTCTTTTACTCATGGCTTCGTGGCCATGCTTGCCTATCATTTTAACTCATGGAGCCTTTGCTGGTTTTCACCATGCCCCATTTGTTTTAGGCGATTTTACCCATAGTCTTGTTGGCTATGTCCGCTTGAAGCTCTTTTTATTTACTCGCGATAGTTACCATCAAGCCCGGCTTCTTTCTTTTTTAAGGGGAGAGGGAGGTTACTAGCATAGTGAGTCTTGACAATGGAGTCCGATTGACGTGGCTCTGTCTCCAGTCGACGTAGCGGCAGGTCGCCGAGGCGGGATGTGCCCATGCAGAATGGGGTGCTGCCCTGAAGAGGGTGGCTTTGTTGCGACCCAGGCAGAATGTACCCAAGCATGGTCAATGATGGTGGAGTCCGCACGAAATGTGTTGTTGATGGCACCGGTGGGGGGGCGAAGTGTTGAAGACATCCACGGGGAGGTGAAGTGTTGATGGCACCCGAGGGGGTGGAGTGTTGATGGCACCTGCGGGGGGTGAAGCGTTGAAGGCACTCGCGGGGGTGGAGCATTGAAGGTACCCACGGGGGTTGAAGGTACCCATGGGGGGTGAAGTTTTGAAGGCACCCGTGGGGGGTGAAGCATTGAAGGGACCCGCGGGGGGTGAAGATTTGTTAGTACTCGTGAAGGGTGAAGTGTTGAAGGCACTTGCGAGTGGTGGAGTTTCGATGGCACCCGCGGGGGGTGAAGTGTTGAAGGCTCCCGTGGGAGGTGGAGTGTTGAAGGCACCCACGGGGGGTGGAGAGTTGATGGTACCCGCAGGGGGTGAAGAGTTGAAGGCACCCACGGGGGGTGGAGAGTTGATGGTACCCGCGGGGGGTGGAGAGTTGACGGTACCCACGGGGATTTTGCTCGGGAAGGCGACGCTTGGCTAACAAAACGTCTGCAGATCGACAGAAGGTCAGAGAGAGACGGCCACCTGGGAGGTGGAGCCTGGTGCAAGATCTGTATGAGTGATCGATTGATGACATCAGACTGACAGTAAAATGGCGTTGTATTTGACGGTGATGCTTTGTGAGTAGCGCCTAGAAGGCAAAGCGTGAGAGGGTTTAAAAATGGCTGTCAACTGAGGCGCTGTGACACGTGACCAGATGGTTCGGTGGCATGGTGCTTGGGAAGCAGCGAGCTTTGATGAGCATATGCCCTCTATAAAAAGGGGCTAGGCAGGAGAGCGTGAGGGAAGCTTTTCCTCGTGTTCTGGCAAAGTCCCTTGCTTGATACTCTTTGAGGTGGAGGTAGCATGGACACTTTATTTTATTGGGAGAACTTAGCCGATGAGCCATGTCCACTGTAGGGGCTGGCTGCCCGGTGCCGGCTTCTAGGGTGCGTCCGAGCATTAGGCATCCGGGTGAAGGCGTTGGACCATGCAGAAGCGACGATGGATCCGTTCCAGAGGGCGGGCTTGTATCTCCAAGACCCCTTTGTTTGTGTGGGACCCATGGCGTGAGGTCCGCGGCCATGTATAAGCCGCAGGGGGACTAGCCACCCTTAATCCAGTCATACCTCTTCAAGTATGATGGTAAATTGCAGGGAGAGAGTGACCGGCCAGCTGCCTTTTCTTTGGCGACACTCTCTGTCAAAAGGGAGGAGAAGGAAGAGGTGTTCCTTGGTTTTCTTCAAGCCTTGCTTGAAGAGATGGAGGTGACCTCTTTAAAGGAACCACCACCGTGAGAAGGCGGTGGAGCTCTTGAAGGGAATGGATCCACTTCAGAACGGATGTACATTTTTTTGTGTTACAGATTTTGTTGTAACGACGAGTATGTAATATTTTTATTCATGAAATGAAATCCCCCTTTGTGTTGAATTCTCCTTCTTTGTCATATGCCTTTGCTTGTGTGCTCGATCGCTACTTCTCTTCTTTTTTTTTATCTAGGCCGGGGTAGTTCTTGCCCCAACTGATGGTGGGGGTAAGGAATGGCCTATGGGATGCTCGTTGTGCCCGCGGGGCAACTGCTGCCCACCCTTGTTCAATGTTCTGAAATGGGAATGCCCGTTCGTCGTAAGGGAAGTTTTCCCCAATGGTACTTATTTGTTAGTTAATGTTGAAGAAGACGATGCCATGCCCTCGATTAACGGGAGGTACTAGAAGAAGTACTATCCCTGAATAATAGTCCAAGTTATATGACCTAAAACTATAGCGCGCATCTTGACCGCATGACGTTAAACTACTTCGCACAATGGTCCAAGTTATATGACCTAAAACTATAGCGTGTATCCTGACTGTATGATGTTAAACTTCTTCGCACGAAGGTCCAAGTTATATGACCTAAAACTATAGCGCATATCCTGGCCGTACGACGTTAAACTGCTTTGCACAATGGTCCAAGTTATACGACCTAAAACTATAGCGCACGTTTTGGCCGTACGACGATAAACTGCTCCGTAGAAGCCCCGCTCTACGCGACTCTTTATGCCTAAAAAAAAAAAAATGCGAGGTCCTGCAAAAATCAGCAATGACACATTCCCTAAGAGTTGGAATGAAAACCTACAAGGGCACTCCAATTTCCCTTTTGTTTGGCCATGGATAACAATAGGCCTCCTCACCACCAAAACAAGTTCACCCTTCATGAACATTCTTATTCTGGCTGATCGGTTGAAAAGCTCTTTACATGTGTTTCTTCTGAACCTCGTGGCTCTACTACGCTTGCTGTCTCTTTTCATTGAGTGCGTCCAGCTCTTGGCAGCGGAGAGCAGCCCATTCTTCGTCCGTCATCCTGTAGTGGAGGGCCACCCTGAGGGACGACAACAGGATTTCTAACGGCGCCACGGCCTTGCCCCCATACACTAGTGAGTAGGGAGTGGACTGCGTCGGATGCCGAGCCGTGATGCAGTATGCTCAGAGAACTTCAGGGAGCTTCTCGTGTCAATTTCTCTTGGTGGTGGAGACAGACTTCCTTGAGGCACCACATAGACTTTTGTTGAACGCTACCGTTAGCCCTCGAGTGATACATGGTCGAGTATTTCCATGTGAACTTGAATTTCTTGACTAGCTTGTTAATTTGGCCACTGCAAAATTGGGGGCCGTTGTCCAAAGTGATCCAGTCAGGGATGCCGAACCAATATATGATGTGGTGGCAGACGAAGTTAACCACCGCAACGTCAGGGACCTTTTTGAGAGGGAATGCTTCAGCACATTTGAAAAAATAGTCCGTCGCAACGAGTATAAACACATGCCCCGAAGAGGAGGGTAGTTCGATGGGACCCACAATGTTCATACCCCAATGAACGAAGGGCCAGGATGCCACCATCGGGTGGAGAGGCTCTGGTCGTTGGTGGATGAAACTCCTATGAATTTGGCAAACTAGGCAACTTTTTACGAATGCGATTGAATCGGCGCTCATAGTAGGCTAGTAATAGCCTATGAACATGATCCTATGAAAGATCTTAGGGCTCGATTGGTGCTTTCTGCACACCTCAGAGTGAACTTTTGTGAGGACGCGCTTCGCCTCGTCTTGCCTGATACATCTGAGTAGCATGTTGTTATAAGAAATTCAGAATAGGGCATCGTCTTGCATACATATCGCGTAGCTAACCTTTGGATCTTGTTCTGCTTAGTGGGATCTTCAAGCAGTCGGTTGTGTAGTTGATATGCCCTTATGGGGGCGCGCCAGTCGGTTATCTGTTCTACTTCTGCGCACACATGATCCAAAACTTCAAACTTCCTCTCCCCGCTTTCCTCCTCTTTGGCCATATGGGAGATTAGGGAGGCAGATGAGCTTCGCGTGTCATTGACGTCTGCTGCGACCAGAGCAGATAGCGTTGTCCAAGGAATTTCCCTCCTTGGACCTTTCTGTGAATTTGGCGCATCTCCACTCCACAACCCATATTGGTGTGGGTTCTTTTAAAGGTATTTGGATCGTTGCCCCTAGCATGGCAAGCACGTCCACTTTAGTGTTGAGCCTCCAGGGTACATGTTCCAGAGTCACTCCCTCGAGCTCAGTTATTAGCGACTTGGCGATGCTGAAGTACGGTTTGAGGCTCTCCCTCCTCACATCATATATTCCTTTGAGATATTTAATCACTAACCCAGAGTCACCATAAAGGCTCAAACATTGTGTTCCCAGGTGGGAGGTGAGTTCTAGGCCTTTGATGAGTGCTCGATATTCTGCCTCATTATGCGACCCTACTCCTGAAAGGGAGAAGGATAAAGGAACTAATCCCTCTTGGGGGTTGGAGAACACCACCCCCGCACCACCTTTTTCTGACTGAAAGGCCCCATCGAAGTGCATCTTCCATTCGAACAAGCTTTCGATTTTGAATACCTCTTTGTCCGACAGGTCATCGGTCGCAGGGCCGCCCACTGGCAGTGGATGAGCAGCCAGAAAATCTGTGAGGGCTTGACCTTTGACGGCCCTCTACAGTACATATGTAGTGTCAAACTCCATGAGGAGTAGCGACCATTTTGTGATATGGCCTGTCAGGCAGGGACGCGATAAGAGGAACTTTATAGGGTCCTCTCGAGAGATTAGTCGAACCCATTGTACGAGCAGGTAATGGCGCAGCTTTTGTACTGCGAAGATGATGGCCAAGTATGTTTTCTCTATCGGTGAGTAGTTCACATCTGCTCCTTGTATGATGTGGCTCAGCTAATATAGGGTCATGTCCTTCCCCTCATCGCTATTTTGGGTTAGTAGGGCCCCGAGCCACTCGTCCAGCGCAGCCACGTATAAAATGAAAGGCCTCCTTGGGATCAACATGGAGGGAAATGGGGGGTTGGCGGGGTAACTTTTAATATTATCAGAAGCCACTTGACACGCCTCATCCCATTCAAAGGGGATGTCCTTCTTCAAGAGATAGGAAAAGGGCTGACACCATCCTAACAACTTAGAGATGAACCTTCTTATGTAAGCCAACTAGCCCTCGAGAAACCTGAGTTCTTGAAGATATCTCTGCGGCAGCATCTCCTGGATGGCTTTGATCTCGACGGGCTCGATTTCCAAGCCTCTGTATCGAATGCTGAATCCTAGGAACCTCCCTAATTGCAGACCAAAGCCACACTTCAAGGGCTTCATTTTGAGCTGGTGGAGGCGAAGCCTCGCGAATACTCTTCTGAGATGTGCAATGTGACTTCCCCTGCTATTTGATTTGTCTACTAAGTCATCCACATAGCATTCGACTTCTTCGTGGAGCATGTCCTCAAAGACAGTACTCATGGCCCTTTGATCGGTGGCCCCTATGTTTTTGAGGCCGAAGGGCATCACCGTATAGTAAAAGAAAACTTTTGATGTCAAGAAGGCTATGGATTCCTTGTCCTTCGGGGCCATTCTCACTTGGTTGTAGCCAGCGTAGCCGTCCATGAAGGAGAACGCCTGACAATTGGTGGTGGAGTCAACCAGTAATTTGTAAAGGCGAGCGGAAAGTCATCCTTAGGGCAGGCCGCGTTCAAGCCTCGAAAGTCGATACAGACCCTGATCTGCCCATTTTTCTTTTTGATTAGGACTATGTTAGCCAGCCATTTCGGGTATTTGACTTCCTGAATGAAGCGAGCTATTCTGAGCCTGTCCACCTCCAAGGTTGCCCTGATTCCTCTTGGCTTTTGCTTGACGGCTTGCATAACTGGTCAATCCCAACCTGCGCACCGTTGTGCACGGATCAAGACTAGGCACATCCTGGTTGGCCCTTAAATATTCGGTCTATTCCTGTATTTCTTCAGGTGACATGGAAGCGGAGATGAAAGTGGGTCTTGGTTCAAGTGCATCACCCAAGTTTATTTCCTCCAAGTCGTCCGCGGTGGCCTGTCCACCGTCCTCCAGGACCTCCGATGCTTCGTCTATTTCTTCGTCACCAAGTGGCATTGTGTCCTCTGTGAAGGAGTGTGCTCCTGGTGTTTCAAGCATCAGTTCAGTGGGTGGCACCTCCCAGGTAACCTCTCCCGTTCCGGGACTCGGGGACCCTTGTTCGGCTTGACAGGTCAGGAGGCGCCGGGTGAACGTGTCATCAGGAGCAAGCTCTCAAAGGGATGACGGGGATTCTTGAAATACCGTCACAAGTAGGATCTCATCGGAAGGGAACGGTGGCAATAGTGGGCTTGGTCACCCCGAGTAACCAAGGCTCTCCCGTTGGCGGTGTTGAGACGACATGGCCTCAATTACAGCAAAGGGGGCCAACATCCCCTTATCGATATTAAGGCCTTGATTGCTAGTCGGCTCATAGTCCATCTTCTTTATGATCTGATGGGTCTTGGGCCTGTATAGGTCCCACCTAGGTGTGACCAATGCTTCTAGCAAGGGGTCGCTCCTCATGTCTGTCTAACTAAGCGTCTCGCAGGGTTTCGAGATGAACCTGGGTAATGGAGCGAGAGCGGGAGTGAGAAGGATGGTGCTCGAAGGGAATTTCTTCGAGTACCATGCGGTAGGTGGCGTGGAAGCAGTGAGCGGAGCGACGAATGTCTGTCCTTCTTTGCAGCCAGTAGTGTTCTTGGACTTGCATGTGTGTGTGCGATCCAGAGTGGTGTTCGGGCTTGCCCTTCGGCTACCCATAGGCGTGGTGGTCTTGTTAGGACCGACCAAGCAAGGAGGAACAGAGGCACGATGGACATGCCCGGGCGGATAGCCCTCTGGTTGCTTGTCAGCGTGGTTTGGACGGGGGCCCTCTCTAAGCTCGCAACCTCTCTATTCTCTCTTTACGCTATTAAAATGGGATACGAATGTCCCTCCTCCTTGGATGCCCTC